TATTGACAAAACTGGAAACATCAAGTTTTCTGCTGACGAAGATAGAAATATGTATGATGCTAAAAATTCTGCTACTATTGTCCATCTTACAGCCATAGATTGATACCAAGACTATCATGTAATTTGAAGTTCAAATTTTAACAGATGGATATGAAAAGTGCCTTTGTTAATAGGTACTTAAACGTGGAAGATAATAATAATATGATGATGATAGTTCACATTCATGTTAAAGACACTATGTTGTGTAGGATGTCAGTTAAGATGTTAGAGCATTTTGTTAAACAACTATAGTCTGAATTTGAGTTGAGCATGGTAGGATATATTACCTATTTTCCAGAGTTTCAAGTGATGCAAATGAAGGATTACACCTTTGATTCCCAAAGTGTATATGCTGGAAGTATTTTCCCTTAGTTGTTGTGGAGTAATCAAATGCTCAAAGATGACACTGAATATTTCATCCAAGATGTGCCAGTTAATATATATGACATGTTGGTAATTAAGTTTCTGACTCAGTGAAAGGATGAATAGGTTGCCCTTGTTATGTCTCAACTGAACATAAAGCTTTTTCAAAAAAGTGAATTTGAGACTAATAATGAAGAAGATGTCTTGGACTTTATCTCCACAAGAAAGAGAAAGGTTAGTGGAAAGAGAATTCATGTGAATGTTTCTACTGCACCCATGGGTAATGTGTCATTCCATTCTGAAACAAGTATTCAGAAGTGGAAGTGTGTTTTTCAAAGAAGGACTGCAATTGAAAGAGAGAGTGAGAGAGAAAGATAAAGAGAGAGAGAGAGGGTTAGGTAAAAAAAGCTATGGATTACAAAGAAATCATGGAAGCCGTAATTAATGAAGACAGTTACAAATGTTGGTCCTTTCTATGAAAGACTAGTCAAAGAGTTGACTGTGAACATCTCTTGTGATTGTGATGTTGAAGGCAACAAGAAGTATAGAAATATGTATGCTAGATGAAAGTGTGTGAAAATTTTCACCTTCAATTATTAATCAATTGGATATAAGCAAGAATCCATCTATTGACAAGATTATAACCAAGAAAAATGGAGCTGGAGAAGAAGAGGAAACTACAAGTGAGGATAAAGAAGAAGATTATGTTGAAACACTAAAGTAAAATGGAAGTATGAAGCTTCATAGTGATGCTTAGTTGTTAAAGATAATTCTAAAAGCTGGAGCTTGTTATCAAGGTCAAGAATGATGGTTTTTCTTACGGGTTACTGAGTTTCATTTATAAGATGTTGGTTGGGTAATATGTCTTAGACATTATGTCCATATATGTGTACCAGTTGATGAATCTGATCTAGTTTTTGATGAAGAAATGTTTGAGCTTGTTTGTGGTTCTTTTCATACCTTTACTAAATTGTGGCAAAGGGGGGGGGGGGGGGGGGGGAGGGGACGATTATGTGAGACAAGATTTTCTAGTATGAGGTTTTGTTTTGTGCAAAAATCATCTTTCTTATGTGTTTCTTCTGATGCTACTGTTATCTCTATTGGTTATGGTGTGCTACTTGTGCTACTTCTTGACGATCACATCTTATAAGTTATTTTTAGCCAAAATTTTCTAAAGGGGATATTGTTGTTCCTTTTGATTGACTTTATTTGGTAAAATAACATATGTACGAGATGTATTTTATGCAGAGGCAACATGTGGAACAAGTTGTTCCAGCATATGTTCCAACATCTAGCCTCAATCTGTTAGCTAGATTTCATGAAGGAATCTGAGAGTGATTGTGTTTGTTCCTAAGAAGATTTATAAGACCAAGTTTCTGAGCGTGATTATGTTTGTTCCTAGAATATTATTCAGAAGATGCATAAGTTTGTTAATCCAAATCAATTTGGAAAAAAATCATTAAATTATGAATATGGATGATATGATTAGAAGATTTGGATTTGATTTAGTCAAAGAAGATTTGATTAAATTTGCTTTGAAGGAAGATGTGGTTTAGACTTATTTAATCCAAGATTGTATGAAGATAATTAATTTGGATGTTCTGGTGCAACATGTTGGAACAAATGTCCCAACATGTGTGAAATATCTAACCCTTGACTACAGGCCAAGGTTGTTGATATTGATTCATCTAGTGAATTTTATTCTGATAATTCTGATGCTCATTTTCCCTGTGTGGGTTTCTTTGGTATCTATTTAAATGCCCTCTGGGTTTGATAATGGCTATTTTTACCCCTTTGATAGACTGGTTCCATTTCGGATGCAGTTTATCTTTTGGTTCCATGCCCGTTTTTAGGAAGTAAAGGGAGAACAGACTAAAAGTTAATTAGTTGACTGCAAGACAAGTTACGTTTTTGAAAATGCAAGTTTTCTAGATCGACAAAAATGTTTGTTCTTATGCATATGCAAGTTATTGTGTTCTCGCTGCTCTATGATATTATCATGTCATGGAGTTTATACTTATCATTATGTTACACATCATGCATAATTGTATTTTCCTAAAAATTGGCCAAAAGGGGAGAATGTTGTTATATCTGATTGACATCATTTTAATAGGAAATATATTGAGAAATATGCCATGACATTGTATTGAAACATTCATTGTCTATGAGCTCAAACTAGGAGGCAAGATACAGATGAAGATGTTTCACAGATTGTGAGACATTCAACTTTGGGCAGTAGTCAGACAGTATTGAGAAAATCACACGCCTACTGAAGATTTGTTTCAAATATTGTTTAATCAGATTTATCTGATTTATGCGCTTTATGGGAAAAGGAGAGTTTTCCCAAAAGATCAATTTTCAAGTATTAAAGAGATCAAATATGATTGTTGAAAATTTGTCAAATCAAAGATTGCAAATCAACTTAATGAATATTAATTCCTTATGCTTTTAGATTTGCTTCATCTGTACGAAATATTAGAAACCCTAATGGGCTTTTCAGCTGGATTCTGTTAATAATTAAGGAGGACCTCTCCATGAAAAGACTCAGACCTTGAGATAACAAGCAAGTTGTATTTTATTTTATCGAGTCTTTTATTTTCTTTGTTAGTTGTGTTGTTAAAATTTATTCTCTGGTGACATTCCTATATAGAGGAATGGATTTTATTTCGAGTTGTAATCAGTTTTATCATTCATACTATATTGTAAGGATCTAAATAATTGAGAGAGTGTTTGAGAGAAAGTTAGAGGAGTCTCATATTTTGGGGGGTCTTGAATAGGAATTCATGGTTAGTATTAAAAAAAGAGGCTTTGGACTAGAAAAGTTCAACTAAGACCAATTTATATTTTTACTACTAAGAGTGAATTTCCTTTCTTGGATTAACGCCCTTTAGACGTAGGTGACTTTGTACCAAATTGGTTTAACAATTCTTTGTGTCTTTTTACTTATTCACATTTATCGGTCACTACATTAATCTTGTCATAGACATTGTTCTAAATATTATGTTTGACATCTTTCTAGTTGACGGACAAAATTTCAAACATCATCAAAAATCAAACATGATTGTTAAAGCACAACTTTCATATGAAGCTCAAGTGTTTAACATTTTTAAGGGTAAACTTGTAAAAATAGTGTTATGCACTCTAAGTACTATAAAAATACACACTCACAAAAAATGTTTTTTTTTTCAAACTTCATCTCTTTCAAATTACTTTTGAAAAACTGTTTGGAAAAGCCAGAAGACTATTTTTACTAAAGCATTATTAACCAACAATTCCATGTATCTCCAAGTTTTAGTTGTAGAATTTTTGAAACCTTTAAGGTTGCACCCATTGTATCGTATAACTTTCTTGTCAATGAGTCGTAGCGTGTGGAATAACTCTATATACATGATATCGTTAGAACTCCTTATATCTAATAATACCCTACAAACATCAAAGAAAACAAGAACTCCCTTGATAATAATACATTATAGTAACATCTAAACATGTTGAGTTAGAACTCCATTGACCATTTTGTCGTAGATTCACTATCATATATGAAACAAATGGTAGAAACACCAAGCTCTTTTTCCACGCGCGATGCCAAATGGTTCAATCAAACCTAGAGGATCTGATTAGTGGTGAACTCTTGATGACACCCGTTGATCTATTTCTTTTGGAGGTGAGAATGAACCAACAAACACTCAGACGATCAAATTAGTAAACAACGTAAGATTTAAGATTTTAGAATAACGTGTACCTAAGTCTACACTGTGTTATAAAACATATAATATGAGTATAAGAGTTAGAGGTTTTGGAATCTTCTCTTGGGAAGTTGTCTCAAGGAACAAATATCAAAGAATCTTATCAACTCTATCTTTGGATAGTTTTCATGAACCAATTAACGTTAATCAAATATATCTCTATGATGTGTTCATTCCTTGATCTATTTTACTTCCTAAAACTTAAGTAATTCAACTTTGAGGATATTAGCCCTTATAAACCCTAAGATCTACGTCTAATCGTAGTAATTGACTACCAATGTAAAATTTTACATCGTGTATATCAATTTAACCATATTATTTAATTCTACTTATGATTAATATAACATTATAAAATAAAATAAAGCAAGGCATCATCTTTTATTTGTCTTTTTCATCTTTAAATTCTGGCACAAATATTCTCAACTGAAGTTGCAAGTAAAAACTAGAATCATACTGAAAGAGATATCACACAAGCTGTCTTCAATACATTTCCTGTTAATTACCGCAATTTGAATCCACTTGTCCCTTGTTTGATGAACAATGAAGCTTAATTAAAAGCATAATTGATTAACACAATAATCTTTTATGGTAGCTTCCCAAGTATTAAAGGCATAGATGTAAAAAAAAGTATTGATTTAGACAAGATTTATATTCCAAGTACTTAATTATGGATAAAGAAAGGTAGTTGATTCATCTCAACTTTATTCCTTTTTTAGTATTATATTTACACCTGTCACATTCCATTAAAATATACAACTTCACCATCACTATCACTATCATTATCTCTTCTCTTCTCTTCTCAGTCTCAATCCTAGACTTTTGAACTTTCACTTCCATTTTGTTTTGTTGCTCACAATGACTAGTATAGGCAAGTTGGGTGCCATGCAACAACTGATGAAAGGTGGAAAAATGATGCCAGCAAATGTAATATCTGATGATAGTGTTTTGGTGAAGAAAATTGTTTCAGATCATAATCCTGAGGGACTTGATTATGATGTTAAGCCACTTCTACATATTGTAGAAGATATTCTTAGACGTTCAACCCTCACCAGTTCTGAACATTCTTCAATGGTACATACAATATGATTCTAATGTCTAAAATATTTTAGTTGCTTCTGTTCCAAGTAAACTAAGTTTTCTATTTTCATGTGACTAATTTTAAGTTTCTTTCAGGGTGAACTTTCAAATGTTGATCATGTTGAAGACAGGAATAACCTTCCTGCTTACACAAACATGCTCGAGGCTTTGTCTGTTAAGATTGATCGAATTTCTTGCGAGGTGATAAAAAATTAACTAACATATTGAGTTGTTAATTTTGGTGCTGGACATCATTTGCATGCATGTTTTTTATTCCATGAACATAACAAATTAACGGTACAAGTGCAACATGAAATTTCAGATATCCTACAAGATTCTTTCTGGTGTAGATGCACACTCCACAACAGTTTCAATATTCGAGATGCTAACAATCTACAAATGGGATGTAAAGTTAGTTCTAGCCTTAGCTGCATTTGCTCTCAACTATGGTGAATTCTGGCTTCTTGCTCATATTCACGACACAAACCAACTCGCAAAATCAATGGCGATTCTTAAGCAGTTACCTGGTATCATGCAGCATTCGACCTCGCTAAAACCACGATTCGATACACTTAATGATCTAGTAAATGTCATATTGGAGGTTACCAAGTGTGTCATAGAGTTCAATGATCTTCCAGTTCAGTACATTTCACAAGATGTACCAGCCTACAACACTGCCTTTAAGCATATCCCAGTTGCTGCATACTGGTGTATTAGAAGTATTGTGGCTTGTGCTGCTCAGATTACAAGCCTCACTACACTTGGTTATGAGTATGTTTTTTCAGTCATCATTTCTCATGATTTTTTGAAAATTTATAAGGACTAGTTGGCAAATTTTGAAAAATATAGGGACTAATAAGTAAGTATTCAAACATTGTTTCAGAATCTTCACCTCTAATGATGCTTGGGAGCTTTCTACATTGGCTTTCAAGCTCAAAAGTATAGTGGACCATCTCAAAAATCAACTTGGTATCTGCCACAAACACATTGGTAAGCCATACATAATCTATATATAAATATTTATTGAAGATAAATTAAAATATGACACTTGAAATCATATATTTAAGATGGTTATTGAATGCAGGGGACATAATGGATGCTGAAGCTTATAGAATGCTACGAGAATTATTTTCGAGACCACACACTGACAACATGAAGATCATCAAGGCTTTAATTTATTCACATGAAGACGTTTTACCTCTATACGATGGTGTTTCGAAGAAAAGGGTTTGATTTTCTAACACTAACAACACATACATGACATGATACATTAATTATTATTAGAAGCTGATGATGATTGATTAATGCAAAAACAAAACAGGCTAGCCTTGAGGCACTTAGGAGGAAGAATGTGTTACTTCTGTTTTCAGGCCTGGAGTTTTCAACGGACGAGCTTCTAATACTCGAACAGATCTATAACGAATCGAAGGCGCACACAAAGAGGCAGGACAATAGATATGAGTTAGTTTGGATTCCAATTGTGGACCAAACATCTGAATGGACAGACCAAAAGCAAATTCAATTTGAGAGCCTGAGAGATAGTATGCCATGGTACTCGGTGTATGATCCTTCCTCGATAAGCAAGGCGGTAGTTTGGTTCATTCAGAGTGAATGGAAATACAAAAATAAGCCTATTCTTGTGGTTTTGGATGCTCAAGGTAGAGTTGCTTGCCCTAATGCTATTCACATGATGTGGATTTGGGGAAGTGCTGCTTTTCCTTTTACAAGTTCTAAAGAAGAAAATCTTTGGAAGGATGAGACTTGGAGACTTGAACTTCTTGTGGATGGCATTGATTCTGAAATATTGAACTGGGTAAGCTTTCTATTCACACTTTTAATGATATAACTTCAAACCCTAAGACTCGGGACACGAGAGTATGCTCCTCTCAAGGTCTCAGGTTTGAATTCTGCGAGGTGCTAACAATTATTGTGTAGGGTGAGTCCCTATTACATATACTATTTTAAGAGTAATCAATTCTGAAATTTATGATTGGACAGATTAAAGAAGGAAAATACATTTTCTTGTATGGAGGAGATGATCCGGAGTGGGTGAGGAGATTCGTGAAAGAGGCTCGAAAAGTGGCACAGGCAACACAAACACCGTTAGAGATGGTATACGTGGGACAAAGCAACAAGCGAGAACAAGTACAAAGAGTATTCGACACCATAATCCGCGAAAAGCTCTACACTCACAGCTGGTCAGAACAAAGCATGATATGGTTCTTCTGGACACGTCTCCAAAGCATGCTGTTCTCAAAAATCCAACTGAAACAAGTTGATGACAACGACATCGTGATGCAAGAAATAAAAAAGCTTCTTAGCTACGACAAACAAGGCGGATGGATTGTTCTAGCAAAGGGATCACGGATTGTGGTGAATGGACATGCTGCAACTGGTTTACAAGCTTTGGCCGAGTATGATCTGATGTGGAAAGAACAAGCTGCAAATGATGGGTTTGAAACAGCTTATAAGGATCATTATGGGAAGCTTCATTCAGTTGCTAACCCTTGTTGTAGATTTGAGTTTTCACATTCAATGGGAAGGATACCGGATAGACTCACATGCCCCGAGTGTCGCCGGAATATGCATGTGCTTACTACTTTTCAGTGCTGCCATGATGATAATGTTGAGGAGGATTTTTTTGTTAGCAGTGTTTCTCCTCCTACTACTACATAATTCATCATTTCATGTTTTATTCATGTTTCTTTTTTTATAAAATTCTGTTGCTTATGGTTCTATGTACTTTATTGCATAGTCCTCAATGTTTGTGTGTTTCTTTTAATCATGGATTGATGTAATGTAATAAATTTGCACTACTGTTGTAATAAAATTTCTGCCAATCAAGCTTTCTGAATTTTGTGTTATACTATTGAATGTATTATTTTTATTCCCTTAATGCAATATTAGGATCATATCTCGAGTTACATTTATAAAATCAATCAAATTCTTGCACATTCACAAATCTAATTTAGTTACCTACAAACAACAAGTTTAGGCCAAAATCTAATTGATTCATCTTCTATGACTAAACTAGTGATACATATTGATTCATCCTTCACTTAAGATTTTGACATTTCATTCTCTCATGCTTTGATAGTTCTCGTTTTAGTGAGCAATTTTTTTAGTTTTGAAAGTTTTTCATTTTGGTTTGGGAATGACATCAAATTGAAATAACTTGTTGCTCAAGAAAGGTTTACTGTGTGTAATTTTGTCAGGATAAGTAAACGAACGTAATGGAGGTAAGCGAGTTTTGTAAGATACATGCATACATTTTTGTGCTCCTTGAGGAGTGTGTGACACAGTGCGATTAATCTTGAAGAGCATTAGTAATTTGTTGAGAGAATTGGACAGACAACCCTTATACATACTCATCACGACCACTCTACACCATACTTTTTTTCTTCTATATCTATATCTATGACTATCCGGCTCTCTCCCTCTCTCTTCATCTCTCAAGATTTTGGTGATATTTTATTAAAATATGTTTATAAAAAAATAGTAATTTTTTTCAAAACACTCTCCCTCAAATTGGATTTTATATGTAATATGAATCGAGCTTGTTATAAAGGTAATTCATTTGAGAACTCCTAAGAAACTTTGTAAACATATTAGCTAATTGGTCTTCAGATTTTACGAAATTTGTGATGATTTCTCCTGATAGTATCTTGTCCCTTACATAATGACAGTCTATTTCTATGTGTTAGGTCTGCTCATAGAAAATCAGATTAGATGCAATGTGGAGTGCTGCTTGATTATCGCATGAGTTTTTTGTTCTGAAGATCTCCTATCCTAAGTTCTGAGAGTAAATTTTCAGTCATGCAAGCTCCTTTGAGACTGCTGCCATAACATGATATTCAGCTTCAACACTAGATAGTGCAACTATATTTTTTTCTTACTTCTCCCTGAGATCATATTACCTCAAATCTGAACACAATATCCATATGTGAATCTTCTATCCGAAGGTGATTCAGCCAAATCTGCATCTGAATAACAAATGATTTTAACATCACCCTTATCTTCATATAATAGTCCTATTTGTGGTGCGTTCATTATATATCTAAGAATTCAAATGACTGCATCCCAATGACTATCACAAGGAGCATTCAGAAACTGGCTCGCAATGCTCACTGCAAATGTAATATCTGGTCTGATGACTGTAAGATAGTTGAGTCTTCTCACAAAACCTTTGATATCTTCCCGGGTCTTTCATTGGCTCCTCTTCACTTGGAAGAAGTTTGACGTTGGGATCCATAGGAGTATCAACAGAACGACAATCAAGCATACTAGTTTTACTGAGAATATTTATGGTATACTTGCGCTGGTTGATTGCAAAACCGGATAAGGACTGAGCAACTTCAATACCTAAGAAGTACTTGAGTGGACCCAAATATTTTATTTGAAAGTTTTTGAAAATATGAGTTTTGAGACGCTGGATATCCTCGGTATCGTCTCCAGTGATAACAATATCATCAACATAGGCCACAAGGAAGATGCACTGACCGGTGGAGAAATGAAGGAAGAAAATAGAGTGATATGCTTCACATCTAGTCATACAAAACTATATCAAAGCAGAGCTGAAGCGACCAAACCAAACATGTGGGGACTGTTTCAGCCCATAGAGAGAACGACGAAGCCGACAAACAAGTTTAGAATTTTCAGAAATAGTAAAACCTGGAGGTTGATCCATATAAACTTCCTCCTCAAATTTCCGTGTAAAAAGGCATTTTAATGTCCAACTGATGAAGTGGCCAATGATGAATAGTAGCCATTGTAAGAAAGAGAAGAATTGACCTAATCTTGTCCACCGTAGAAAAGTGTCACCATAATAAAGACCAAATATCTATGTATATCCTTTGGCTATCAAACGGGCTTTGAAACGATATATCTGACCACCTGGTCCAACTTTCACTATATAAACCTATCAACATCCCACTGAATTTTTGCATGGAGGTAAAGTAACAATGTCCTAAGTGTTATTTGAATGTAATGCAATCAATTCTTCCACCATCACCTAATGCCAATTGGGATCAGTCATAACTTCACCTGTAGATTTAGGAATAGACACATAATTCAAAGCAGACACAAAAGAGATATAAGAAGTGGAGGGACAATCATAATTTAAAACATAAGCATATTTAGGATTAGGATGATGAGATCGAATACCTTTTCATAATGCTATTGGAAGGTCAAGTTCAGGTCACGTAACTGGAGGAGCAGTTGAAGCAGGAGATGGTGTTGGTGGATCAATATCATCTCTAACCTCTGATGAAAGTGGTGTTCGTCACTGGTAGACCTACAATGGACGTGTAATGAGTATGGGGATGGTGGAAGGGATATCTCGAACATGTGAAGTACAATTCTCACTAGGTGACACAAAGGTAGAAAATAATGGGGAAATTTCAAATAAGGTAACATCGGACGAAATAATGTATCCTTGAAGTTGGAGATAAAACAAAGATATTATTTCTGTATACATGAGTAGCCTAGAAAGATACATTTGACAGATTTGGCAGAAATTTTGTCTTTACCTTGATTGAGGTCATGAACAAAACATGTGCAACCAAAGACGTGAAGAGGAATGAGGGTAGAGACCATATTGTGGATTCAAGATAGAGTATGGAATATGATCTTGAAGGACCGATGAAGGCATTCGGTTGATAAAGTGACATGCTATGAGGAGATAATCACTCCAAAAATGAGAAGGTACATTGTGGTGAAGTGAAAGAGTCTGCGCGATTTTAACTAAATGACGATTCTTCTGTTCAACGACACCATTTTATTGTGGTGTATGAGCACATGATGATTGGTGAATAACTCCATGTGATGTTAAAAAGGATTGAATCTGGGATGACATATATTCACGAGCATTATCAGTGTGTAAAAATTTAATGGAAGTGTCAAACTGGTTTTTAATTTCAGCATAAAACTCTTGAAATATATGGAAAACATCTGAACGATTTTTCATAAAAATAACCAAGTACATAGTGAAAAATTATCGATGAAGGTTACAAAGTAATAATATCCTAATGTTGACTTGACACGACTAGGACTCCAAATATCATAATGAACTAACGAAAAATGTGATGCAACACTTTTATTAACTCGTTGACAATAAGTGCTACGAGTATGTTTGCCTAATTAAAACGATCGACACTCAAGTAACGAAAGCTTAGATAAACTAGGAACTAAAAGACACATTTTATTAAGGTTAGGGTGATCCAAACGTTGATGTGTAAGGTCTTGAGAAGAAATGGAAGCACATGCCACCGATGGAGATAGATGATATAATCCTCCGAACTCACTCCCTGCTCCAATTGTCTGTCCTGTATGTTGATCTTGGATATGAACATAATTATCAATAAAATGGACTGAACAATCAATAGTACGAGTGAGCTTTTGAACAGATATTAGATTGAAAGGACAACCAAGGATATAAAGCACATAATCTAAAGACAAGCTTGGAAGTGGATGTTCCTGACCAAGACCTTAATCTTTGATTTTAGAGCCATCTGCCACAGTGGCAGAAGGTAAAGAATCAGAATAAGACAAGTGAGATAAAAGAAATTTATTACCACTCATATAATCAGATGCACCAGAGTCAAGGACATAAGGGGAAAGGGAGGAGTATTTAGAGACAAAGGTTACAGGATTACCAGACAGAGCAACAGTAGCAAAAGATGATGGTCGATAAGCTACTTTTAATTGAAGAAACTCATTGTACTCAGCGGCTAAAATAGTAACGTCTTTGGTAATAGTCGGTTGAACAACAACAACAACCCGTGGTTGTCGTTGTTCTCTTGCCTTTGTATGACATCCAACTTCAATGTGACCGTAACAATTGCAATAGTTACAATAGATACTATGGCGTTGACCACCCCGTCCTCCGGTCCGTCCACCACGACCATGGTAGTGGCAATCGGTGTCTCCCATGAGAGTTGATGGCTTGAAATAAAAAATTGAGTACGGATCTGGAAAGAGGGAAACATTATGACGCCGACGATGGAAACATCGATGAGAAGGGTTGTCGAACGCGTTGTCACGCGTTGCTAGAACAGTGGTGCGTGAGATCCACGTGCAGCAGGAGTAGTGGCGCGTGGGAATACAGGCGGCATGAAGATTTTGGAAACTCGCAGATCTGAAAGAGAGGATTCTGGCAATATAGGTATATCCCCCTAATTCGACCCTCCTAAATCTAATGGTGGCATTTTTTTGGTTAATTCAACCTGTTTAATAAGATCCGAGAAAATCTATCTCTAACCCCTAATACTAATATTTCATAATGCTTAAAAGTTGTATCGTATTTAATAATATGTGAGTGAAGATAAAATATATTTAAAATACTTCTAGTTTGCGAAATAAAATTTATCGTCTTTCCTATGAGATTATAGTTTTGAGTCACGTTATTATTGTTAGTGCTTTAACCCTTGTTTGTTTGTAAAAAAAATATAATAGAGGAAAGAAAGAAAAATTAAGAATATGTATTTTGTTGATTTTGAGAGATTTGTTTTCTTCAAATGAGGATCAAATTGTCATTAAATATTTTTATTGTATGAATCTAAATGCCTCTAGAGTTCGTCTTAATCATATGCGGTCAATCAAATGACAAATATTTAAAGTTGGAGAGAAAAGACTCAACCAATTTTCATTACAAAAAAAAAGTCTCCATTGACATTGAC